CGATCCTCGCGCTCGCTCAAATTGGAGACCAGGCTGCGAGCTACATCAATGAACCATTGCCCATTTGCTGATCCAATACTGAATGTTAATATTACTGAAGTCAAAACGAATTCTATGACCTCAGCACATGGGCAAATAATAGGGCAGTGTCGACTCAAAGGCAATGGAAGAAACAGAGGCGCCTTTGTCTAAATCACAACCACAGAAAGCCAGGAATCATCACTGATTGTGTGTTCAGGGATTCCGAGCTAGTTAGAACACGTGCACAGGGGGGGAGCTGATGTAAACAACCCTGCACGTCTGAACGTGAGGGGGCCTTTGACCTGAAAGTAAGAATAACACTCCCAGAGCAGAAGGTTGGATGACCACAGTGAGACGAGAATAAGAGTGGTGTATATCTCTCAAGGAGGCAGACCCAGCTGAACAACAAGGCTGCGGGGGTCACCAGAAGTTCGCATTCGCCTAGTTAAGACAAAAAGCTCAATTATTCTGTATTGCTATTAAAGTAACGTTAAAGTCGGAATTTAACAACAGGGTAGGCTAAAGTTATCGATATTCACACCCACTCCAATTAAACCAGGCCACAAGTTACGCCTACTGAACCATCACCATTATTAAGTCAATATGAAATGTTATTTCCATACTTCAATACTTTCTATACAATTCGACCCGAAGCATATGACAATCAGAACCTTCCTAAGTCAAAATTGAATCGCACCCAGACAGGAGCGAATAGTCAATATAAGGTTGAAGAGGGAAGGAAATCAAGAGCACGGCGAACTGCAAACGTAAGCAAAAAGCCGGGAACAACACCAGCCCAGCAACAGCGAGTGGGGCTTCGACAGGCCATAAAGTAGAATAATAACTCCCGGGGTCAGGGGACACAAGAAGAAGCAGGCAGACAAAAACCAGAACTGACTCCAAGGTTCAACCGCCCTCACCTACTCAGGAGTGACGGAAATTAATGAGGCCTTGAATTAACGGCAGGCAACAACAACGGCGAGCAGAGATAGGGTGGGGCAAAGACTGCGGGCTATGAATGCAACTTCGTGTCAGTAAAGCCCTGACAAACAAGTTAAGTTAAAGACATCACAATACATAATATCGCACATAACATCAATGTTAACGCTATTCACCATAAACTATATTCCGCTTATATAACCATCCAGGCACCAAGGAATACGAATTCCTAGGATCAAGAAACTTACCCCTTAACCTAAGATATCGGAAATAAATTAATAGTAATAAGTATATGCATGAAAAGACAAAGTAAAACTTATGAAAAGCCAGGATAACGGGATGAATCACAACCAGGTCGAATATAATACATAATAAAAAAAACGATGTTAAACCCAGGGTCGGAGAGAAAGGGAGATCCCGGCCGTCTTTGTATCCCCGCAGCGCGGGATAGGAGTGTGTATACGCTCGGGGAAACACCTACACTTGAGTCAAGCACCACGATGGGAAACGACAGACCTTAGGTTACATACAGAATCATAACTGTGAAATAGTAAGGGACAAATGTTAACTTAAAACTTTTAACCATTTCTTTGTGCGCCGGGTCGGAGAGAGTGTTGCCCCTCCCTCCAGGTTGTGCAACACGAACAAAGACGCCTATGAGACGATTTGTAACGTCTGTGTTTTGGGTCATGAAGAAGGCCAGACAAGAGATAATATTGCACCCAGACAGAGAGACGACTTCGAGGCAATTTGTAACATCTGATTGTTTGCTCGTGGGTTTTATGGAGGGAGTGTGACAACGAATATACCGTCAGTGATGCACACAAGGACACACGGACATACGGACAGACACATGGACACACCTGCCTACGGACAGATCCTGACACAGCAAAAATCGGAAGAAGCCCCGCCTTGTGGGCGGGATCCAGGGGGAATTTTCGGCATAAAGTAAAGGATCCTGAGCATTGGAAACCAGTGCGACGGGAGGGTCCACTCAGAAGCTCGACCGGGAGGGTCGACTCAGGAACGAGTGCGACGGGAGGGTCCACTCAGAAGCTCGACCGGGAGGGTCGACTCAGGAACGAGTGTGACGAGAGGGTCCACTCAGGAGCGCGACCGGGGGAGTCGGCTCAGGAGGAGTGCGACCAGTGGGTCCACTCAGGAGTGCGACCAGAGAGTCGACTCAGGAGCGAGGGCGACCAGCGGGTCGACCCAGGAGCGAGCTCGACCGGGAGGGTCGACTCAGGAGCGAGCTGCGACCAGCGGGTCGGCTCGACTCATCTTCAGCTCGTCAACCTCTGCCGAATCGGGGGTCTCTGCTGCCACCGGAGTGGTGAGCATCGCGGATCGGCGACAACCCAGAGCTGCACGCTACGAGCGAGTTGTGGGCGCCACCTACCGACCGGGTTCCGAACTGCGACAGCGTATCAACAGCCATCCGAACCAATTCGCCACGGGATCGACTGATACGTATGACGCGCACCGCCCCCTCACCACACGACCACCAGGCGTCTGTTTGACCTAAAGAATCGACTCCGAACACTGACTATTCAAGACAACTCTTACCACTCAAAAACACTCGAACCCATAAGCCATCCGTGGCTGGAAAGCATCACAACGAGACCGAGGGATGGCCCTCCGTCGTTTATAAGAGTATTCTTAATTTTTATCTTTAATATTTAGTGGGCTGTACTCTTAATCGCATAAATTCCCAACAGATCCATCAATACGAACTGATTCTTGGCACCTCCTTCCGCCGAGCCACGCTCACGTGGGGAGTGGTGGCCCACCGGACCCTTATCAGGTGATCTGGTCCCCAATTAGTAAACTTGGTATAAGATAACGAGCTTCGGAAAAGGAGCACCGTCGCAGGCCCTTACTCCGAGCCGTTCTGTTGTCAGATAACCTGCCGATGTATCTGTTGAGATTGGTGCCTTTAAGAATAATAACTGTTTTTGATTGTATTTTTTTTTTATCGCCGTATAATCTTTCAAGTATCTTTCAGTCATAATCGCCGCACGTACTCGCATCCTCTACAGAATATTCAACTGTTCCGTGACCCAAGGTGTTAACAACGTGATAAGGGTTGCGTATGATCAATAAGGAGTGCGGTACTGCGTGAACAATATTGAGTATAATCATTCATTAACGTTAAGGTTTTCTTAGCATAGTATTTGCATGTTTTAACGACTCTCTCTCTCACTAAGAACCATCGCGTTATGCGGGATCCATGTGCCGTTGTCAAAGTGAAATCAGACAATCGTTGATGATACTGTATTGATGCCGTATTGACGTTCCGGGATTGAGAGTTCGCATACTATATCATAGTTAAGGTTGAATTAGTAATAAATTGATCAATACAGAAGTGGTTGTGTGATTCTTTCCTGAAATCTATGCATAAGATCTGTTTCTGCGTTGAGATTTGAACTTGGTGACCTTAATAAACACACTAATACATACTCAGTAAATGTTAAAGCGATAACGGGGTGAACCGGGGTCTGGTTATCATAACGACTTGCGTTATCATAATTACACCCACTCGCATAATTAATACGATTACCTCTCGAATTGGCATAATTAAAATGTGCGTAATTACATAAATTAACATATTTCCGGATAATTACACATTTGGCCAAATTTCATTTAATTATTATTATTTCCACTGAATATTCATAACCCACATATACAACATAATAATTTCACCCACGCACGCATACAACATAACAAATTTTCATACCCAACATATACAACAGCGAGCAATTGCTCGATGAGTCGCTGGGGGCCTTGCGGGGTCGGGCTGCGAAGGAGAAAGGTGGACCGCTGTCCGATGGGACGCCGGGAGCTGCTCTCCGAGATGGCTTGTTGATGTGGAGGGAAGGGTTGCACGATCGCTGGCGTCTTGTTGTACCGTCGTCATTGCGATATGAGTTGATTCTTACTCTGCACTCTGAGAAGTTGTTACATCTCGGGGTGCAGAAAACCTTGTTGACGTTACAGCGGGATTATTTTTGGCACGGCATGATGACTGATGTCGTCGGGCACATTCAGGCATGCTCCGACTGCCCGGCGGAAACCACCTAAACACCCATATGTTCCACCAGTGCAGTCCATACAGGTGTCACGGATTAACGTTGGATATTTTGGGACCCTTTTTGCCGTCCGCTCGGGGGAATAAATTTTTGTTGGTTGGGGTGGAATATCTTTCCCGCTGGCCGATGGCCTGGCCCTTAACCGATCAGTCAGCGGCGTCTATCACGGAGGCGTTCCTGTTCGGATACGTAATGGACAAAGGGGCACCGGAAAGGTTGCTCACGGACCAAGGGTGAAATTTTTCTTTCAAACTGTTGGCTGAGGTATGCGCTGCACTGGGGACCAAGAAGGTTCGGACGTCTCCCTACCATCCGCAAACGGATGGTATGGTTGAACGGCTCAATCGGACCCTGTCGACCATGCTCTTGTCATACGGTTAGCGAAAATCAGGCTGATTGGGATTTGCATATCCCTGGGGTGCTCTCCGCATACCGGATGACGCCACATGCGTCGACGGGGTACTCACCTTTCTTTTTGATGTACGGCCGCGAGAATGTGCCGCCGGTGGACGTGCAACTGAGCACGGGGGCGAAGGGTCCTGTCAAGCCTCTCCCTGATTATATTCGGGACACTGTTCATCGCGTGGCAGAGGCGCGGGAGGGGGCCCGATTGGCTACGGCCAAGACCCAGGCCCGGAACGAACGTTGTGCACGGCGCTCGCATTGTGAGTCCCCCTGGCGGGTGGGGGACATGGCCTGGCTGCACTGCCCGCAGATACCGGTGGGGACCTCCCCTAAGTTGCACAAACCGTGGCAGGGGCCGGTTGTGCTTATTGAGGTTCCTAGTCCGCAGTCCGCGCGTGTTCGGTTCGGATCGCGGCGCTTGTACGTTCATACGTCTCGATTGAAACCCTACGTGGCCCCGCGGATGGATGCGTCATCACCTAATGTTGCCTTGCCGGTGTCTGTCGTGACCGACGCGCCACTGACTTTGCCTGTTCAACCTGCAAGCGCGCCTGTTGTGCCTCTTGTAGACGGACCGGCTGTCATCCTGCGGTGATTCCTGCTCCGGGTGGGCCTGCCACGGCGACGGGGACACTTGACCCCGCTGCCCCTTCAAACCCCGCCGCGGGTGCAGTTGCAGGTGGCCCCAACGACGGGCCTCTCTGGGGAACGGGATGCTGGGATTGACAGGCCTCCAACAGCGGCGGGCGGTTACGGTCCCACCGCTCCTAAAACCCTGTCAAGATCACGGTCCGTGCGGGGGCCGCCCCCCGTGCGGGACGGGCCGGCGACCCGCACTCGTTCTAAGTCCCTTCCCTTTCGTTAATTGTTGCTATTCTAATCTCCGTTTGTCTTGTGATTCCTGATTGTCATGTTGTTGCTCGCATTATTGTTGTTCTATTGCAGCCGGGGACGGCTGGCTTTTTCATTAGGGGGGGGGGGTCATGTAATGCGAGCAAGAACAGGGTGGTTGCTGGCCTCCGCGCCGCTCACACGGCCCGGAGTATTGGGGGGCGGAGCCTGGTCGGCGGAGCGTGTGGGAGGAGCCACTGCTCACCTCGGCTCCAATGGGAGACGGGGTGAGCGGGGGCGGAGACGGGGGCAGTACGGGAAGGAGGAGTCAGGGTCACATGAGGGGGAGGATATAAGGAGAGAGCCAGAAGAGATCGAGAGGTTGGAAGAGAGTGAGAATAGAGAGGGAGCCACGCTGGGCAGTGGCGGAGAAGTGATGCCATTTGCCACGTGGTCGGAGACCAGCAGGGTGTGCATGGGGTGCCGGGGCTAGCGGAGTGTGGAGGAGCTAGCAGAGTGTGCGGTGGCACACGGACCAGCGGTGTGGCTGGCGGCGTGTGCGGAGGGGCACACGGAGGAAGAGGAGCGGCCGCGGTGTGGGCGAGGGCCACAGGGAGCATGCGCGTAGCGCAAGGCAGAGGCAGCGCGGGTCCGGACGAGGACCAGCGGGGTGCGAGACAAGAACTCAAATAAAGGACGAACGGAGACCTACATCGCCTGACCGAGTCCTTTATTACACAATGTACAAAGTAATATATAGTATCGTAATTATATAGTGAATATACAGCAGTGTGATATACATTAGGGTGGGTAGAGTAATACATAGGTTAATATTACAATGTATAAGGTAAGTTTAAGAGAATAAAGTTTAGATGGAAGCATATTATATTTTTTGCGACATAGAATTGTAATGTATTACTTACTGTTAGTAACTCCACTTATTGTAGAGTATATTTAGTATACTGATGATACTATGTAGTTTGTATTTTAGTTGTTTACGTGGTGGTTTAGTTTCTTCAGCTACATACTATTAACACTCCTTCCCTTTATTAATGCTATCCCTATCCCCTCCCTTTGATGCTGCTAATCCTGCATAATGCACGGGCATAATGACTTTAAACCCCTCGCCAAACCTACGCATTTCACAAGTAGTACTAATCGCATATCTGCATTTCCCATAAATATGCTAAATTCCTCTTGATATGCAAATTATTTTGTCAAGGTGCTCTTTGCCCCTCCATCCCAGTTTAAATAGTCGCTCCAAGCCTGGGGCTTGTCATTCAGACTCTGTCTCCTCTCCACCTGAGGACGGCTGCTTGCATTGTGGCCGAAACGTCGTGAGAATTATTTTATAATGTTTTATTCTCATTATTTAATTATTTCCATTCTACGTGACTTTACCGAAAGATCCAAGAAGATGAATCCCTGCAGTCACGATAGCCTTAAATCGAAAGATTCCTTCATGAAGCCATCCATACGTAGGGGTTGTTATGGGGAGAAAGGCGGACAGAAACACAAGGGTGTCTGCACCCACACACGGGAGTCTACATCCACATCCACATCGGTTAACTCTGGGGGGCCATGGGGGCACTGTGATCCCCCATAGCCCTACCCCTCAGAGAGGATTTCTATAAAAAGCGGGGAGCCAGAGGGCTCGGGGCCAGTGTGTTAGAAGCTTACCAGTGAAGATTGAAGACCGGCAGAATAGGCCCTGGAACTCCCCTGGCTCGCCGTCCTCAGGGCCGAGCAGGACAAGCCAGTGGCGCGGTCCCAAGAGCTTCAGGACCGCTGCTCTTGTAAGAGCCGGTCTGGTTAGCTAAGTGCCGGGATCCGTGCTTGACCAGGGCCGGATCAGATAGCCTCCCCTAGCACTCGTAGCGGAGGACTGGGAATAGGACAATCAGGGAATAGTGCTAGGGGTGTTTCCCATTGAGTACGGGTGAAGGGGCCGTTACCCCTTCAAGTATTGTTACCACCTTTGGTTAAATAAAATAGTGTGCCTCAACTACGTCGTCTGACTCACTGAGAACTCACTACACATATATACAGACACAATTTCAACTGAGAGGATAGTTATAAACTCAGCAATCATTGGAACGATGTCATCAACCACTTTGGGTCATGATTTGATTTGTGTTTTCTTGTCAACCTCCCCCATCAGCAGTGTGGGTATGTGGAGTGAGGTGCAAATGATTGCCTGGCGGCCCTTTGATTGGTATCGACCCACTGCTTTGGCATTGCTTTCTCCTACATTAACATTAGCTGCCCTGTCCATGCTGCTGACACACTTAGGCTATGCCCATCTCTAAACCTTTATAAACAGTTTGCCTTTAATTCGAGATTTGAACTTTTCGTGACTGCAAGGATCCATACTCTTTGGTTTTTTCTGTAAAGTCACGTAGGTGGAAACAAAATAAAATGAAAATGCAAAGCTAACTTGATCGCTAAATTCAACCTCCTATCAAAGAAGAAGCCGGAACCACACATTACAAAGTTAGATGTCAACAAGATTGTTATTAATCAGAATAACATCCCAATTTCTGACAATCTAAAATCGGTACTAGCTAAAGGACTGAATTTCGCAGTTGCCCCTAAGCATATCCCAGTAGAGGATATAATCTCCCAAGTCGATGTAGCTCTCAACGGCTTAGGAGACATCCAAACAGACGTTGCTAAAGCTGAAATTGCCACAATCCTCAAAAATGAAACCCATGAGGAACATCAGCAAAAACGAGTGCTATGAACTCGCAAATTTGAAAAAGAGGGATGACATAGTCATCCTCTCGGCCGACAAGGGCAATGCCACTATCATCATGGATAAAACCACATAAGACAACAAAATCCAGGACCTACTCAATGATGGCAGCTACTCCAACATCAATAGAGATCCGACTAATAGCCTAACTACTAAAACCAACAAGATCATTACCAGTTCGAATTCCTTAATCGAACCAGTCAAATGGCTCTCTCTAAAACCCTCGGCTGCCAGACCACCCAGATTCTATGGTCTTCCCAAGATCCATAAAGAAGGTACCCCACTACAGCCCATCGTGTCCATGATCAACTCACCTACCTACAAACTAGCCCTTTTCTATCGGATATTCTGCTTCCCTTTACTGGCAAAACCAATTCAGCAGTACTGAATTCAACTCACTTGGTCTCTATAATCAAGGATATTTCACTGTCCCCTGATGATGTCCTCGTCAGTTTTGATGTGGTCTCTCTATTCACCAAGGTTCCAGTGCCAGACACCATAACAATACTTGAAGACAGTCCAACATGGACTGAACTCTGATGTCCCTGCGCTGGTTAGGCACTGCCTCATCAACACGTACTTCACCTGGAATGGTACCTTCTACAAACAAAATGAGGGCACCCCTAGGGGTTCCCCCTTGTCACCAGTGATAGCCAATGTTTTCATGGAGAAATTTGAGACAGACGTCATCCAGACATCCACCCTGCGACCTTCCCTGTGGAAGAGATATGTGGATGATACTTTCGTCATTTGGCCACGTGGCCTAAAAGCATTGAACCAATTTCTCAACCACATTAACTCTATACATCCATCCATCAAATTCACCATGGAAGTGGAGAAGGATGGCAAGCTACCATTCTTGGATGTTCTGTTTGAGAGAAGGTCCAATGGCTCTTTGGGACATTTTGTCTACACAGATTCCTATTGGAAGCCTGATTCCCACCACCATTCGGCACAAAATAATTCCCTCATCAAAACACTGTACCATAGGGCCCACTGCATCTCTGACGAACACCACCTGACCAGTGAATTGGAACATGTACACCTGGCCCTTAAGATGAATGGATATTCAGACCGTACTATCCGCAAAGCTGTTTCTCCCACCATGGAGAAACAACCCCTTGAGACTCCGATCAAAATCATCACGTTGCCATACATAGCAGGCATTACCAAAAATATTTCCAAAATTCTAAACAAACACAAGATCCAGGTCCATTTCAGTACAATGCACAAAATCCGTGATCTGATCCCATCCGTAAAGGATGTCATTCCTGACTTACAGTACCCCGGTGTCTCCAAACTGAGTTGCATTTGTGGTGACTGTTATATCGGGGAAACGAAACGACATATATCTGATCACATTCGCGAGCACAAGTCAGATTTAAAACACGGTAGGACAAATTATTCTGCCGTAGCTGATCATTGTTTCAACACAGCGGGTTCTCATGATATTGTTTTCTCCGATACTAAAGTACTCTGCAAGCCGTCTGGATACTACCAGAGATTTGTCTATGAAGCCATCCAAATATACAAACATAGACACAACTTCAACCGAGAGGATGGTTTCAAATTAAGCAATCATTGGAAGGATGTCATCAACCAAGTCAAACTTTAGCTGCCTTATAATTTTTCAGCCATATCCATATTCCAGTCTTTTACTCCCAGCCTGATACACCACCTTCACTAAGAAATTTTGATGTACAACAGTGTTTCATTAGCGCAAAGAAATTGTCTCCCCCATCCACCTCCTCCCCATTTCCCCCACCGACACATCCGTCATACACCTCCCCTGGCATCACAAAGAAAAAAGATGGTTATCTATCGGCTTAACTCATGCTAATCCCCTGCCCAACCGCCCGCGACGCCACACGGCCTGCCACATGCCCCCCCCCCCGACCCCTTGGCTCCCCCCCCCCATTACCCTATATAAACATGTGTCTCTAAATAGCTCTCTTCATACGCTACAGTAATTTTGCTGTGGCGGTCACACCTGATGACAGATGCTTGTGTTGCTTCCAAAACGTCGTGATTTAATTTAGTTGTTTTTATTTTATTTTGTTTTCAACTACGTGACTTTACCGAAAAAAACAAAGAGTATAGTTTGCCTTTAGAGGCTAAGCCCACCTTTTCCTGATGACTGCTTGTGTTGCGATAGAATCGTCTTGTTTTTTGTTTTTATTTGTATTTTTTTTAATAACTGAAAGAACCAAGAATAACTCTTTGGTTCTTTCGGTAAAGTCACGTATAAAGATAAAATAATAAATTAAATAATAGCATACGACATTTCGATTGCAACACAAGCAATCATCATCAGGTATAAATGAAATAGCAACAAAAATCTAACCAGAAAACTATAGACAGACATATAAGCAGACAGATATCACCAAGATACATAGAGTAACACAGGCACAGAGAGGGAGATCGTCTCTGTGGCGAGGCCTTAAATCAGGGGTCCTCAAACTACGGCCCGCGGGCCACATGCGGCCCGCCGAGGACATTTATCCGGCCCATGGTCACTAATTGGGCTGGAGGGGCTGCCTGCTGTTTTCCCGTGCTGGTCAGTGACAGACAGCCGAGGAGTAGGAAACCCAATTTAAATGACAGTAAGTGCATTTATATTCTGATTGCTATTCAGTTGTATGAGGTTATATGTTGTATGTTGTGTAAGCCCCGGTTCATACTGTTGCGATCTCTGAGCAGTGCGAGTTCAGCCATATGCTTGTATGGCTGAACTTGCATTAGATTCGGAAGAAAAAAGGCACATGTGCCTTATTTTTTCCTGCAGTGGAATCGGATCGCATGGGTCTTCTCCCCCATGCGATCAGATTCCTATGCGAGTTCGCAGATCGCACTGCGATCTGTGAACAAAACTGCAGGTGTAATTAACTTATTAATGGCACCCGCACCAGTGTAAGCCTGGGGTAAAAGCGGAGTTCCCCCAATCAGACT